GAGAAAACATGAAATATTTAGCTGCAAATGATGGTAAAGTTGCAGAGCATTTTGCATCATCAACAATCACAATTAAGGAAGCTTCTCCTCATGGAGCCATTTGACTTTCACAAGCCAAGGGTGGACAAATATTACCTATAACTCCTGGTAACAAAATATTTTAACTTATTATTTCATTTAGGATAATAAATGATAACTTTTGTTATATTTTAAGACCATCAAGTGCAAAACAGCTGTTCAAGGATCAACCAGTTGTAACAGCCAAAAATCTTGCTCTGGTGCAAATAAATACAGGCTTTTCCAACAATGGTATCAGAAAGTTAGCACAAACAATCAGAAATGTTAGCACAACCAAAGTTTTGGAGCCTTACATAGTTAAAAATTTCAAGATCTCGGCAAAAATCTCAAAGAAGACTGCTTCACTCAGACAGCAATGGCATTTACAAACTCTGACAAAACAAACTCAAATCATGTGGTTACGCATTATAAGAGCCTGAACTCCCAAATTGAAGATCTACTTCTGTCACGAAAGATTTTTTCAAACCATATTGTTAAATTAGGGATTGATGAGGGTGGATGTTTTTTAAAAGTCTGTCTTGGAGTTTCCGAATTGGAACCACAGCACAATGATTGTTCACTTCCAGCAAAAGTTCATGCAGTATTTTTTTCACTTTAAAAACTTTGTCAAACAGAAAAATATGCCACTTGGAATTTATAGCGAACAAACAATAGAATCAATGCACCACTGCTAAATTTACATTTGGAAAGATACAAACGTCCAATAAGTCATCCAAAATATGGAAAAAGACAGCAGCAAAAAGTTTTGATGCAAGCTTCAGCCAACGCAAGGAATTACCTAAGAATAATCAGCATTAGAGAAAAATGTTTCATAAAATTTGAAAATCTTTTAAGGAGAAAAGAATTCTGAAATAGAGTTTTCACGTCAAGTCATGTAGAATTAAAGTATTTTTATATATTTTGTATTATTTCATTATGAATAATGTAAAAATGCAAAATTTTGGGCATGCTGTCATTTCACATATTTGTGTAATAAAGGAGATTTTCAAAATTGATTTTTTTTCTTGGACGTAGGCAAATGATTTAAATTTCTACCTTTTTGGAATCCTATGGTCATAAGCTTTCACAGGTATATCGCGGTTTTCTCAGGAACTGACTTAAGGGTCAACTCAGATTTTGGTTTTTCTACTAAAAAAGTTCAATACTTTTAAAAAATTCAATAGAGTTTTTAAATGTTGTCGTTTCTGCTGGGCTCAAAAGAGGGTCCTGCAATCGATCCTGTTCAAAACAATGTAAATTCTCTGCAAAGTCAACGTGGTAAACAGCATTAAATTATTGATTCTTGAAGACGCTATTAATGATTTTTTTGTAACACTCAAATTGATTTTTTTTTTGCACATAAGTATACTAAATAAAATCCAAGAGTAACTTTTTTTTCTGCCTTTTTGATCTAAATGTAATGAATTTATTCAATTTTTCTGTTTGATTTTTTGTTTAAAATCAAGCGTGCCTATATAGCCTATAGACATAAGAAAATTTTCATATTTTCTATTATTATTTTATTTATTTACTTGATTAAAAGTAACCAAATAGTCTTTTCTTGTAATAGTTTCAATTTTTGGACTCAAGTAACAAACTTCTGCCACCAAAATTTGAGAATTTCGTCATGGTTATAAAATTTTAATGTACGTAAATTAAATGACATCATCAATTAAATGATTTTTTTTTTCATTGTCATTATTTAATGCACATTTTTATATAACTTTTCATATCGTTTTAAAGTAAGTGTCAATACTTTTAACTTTAAATAATTCTAAGTGCTATTAAATTTTGTTAAATAACTTTTGTTTAATAACTTTTCATATTAAATTTACTAAAAATATTTAAAAAATTGAAAATCTCGTCACGTAATTAATGATTTGTCTTATAGATTCTATGTTTATATATTGACATATTACATTTTAATGCTTCAGTTAGTTCATTTTGTTTTAAAAAATTACTTTTTTAAAAATATACAACATAAATTTTGATAATCAATTAGTGGCGTGAATTAATTCTACATTTTCACACAAATCTACAAATACAAAATTTTGTTATATTTGTTTCAAAAAATGTAAGTATTTTTTGTGTTTTATTGAAGTACGTGACTAAGTCTCTTAGACTTATTCACGTCACATATTTTGTTAAATAACTCGATTTTCTCTAATAGTTTACCATTTTTTAACATAAATCCAAAACTAAAATATGTAAAAATTTATATATATATATATATAATTTTTTTTCTCGCAAAATATTAGGTAATGCTTAAGCTTGTTTGCCTACAAAGTGTTTTAGTTTTAAGTGTAAAAGGTCTTTAAAAATGGCTTCTCGAATAAGAATTTTTATTCATATTGATATAGTTTTGAATTTAAAATTTATTTGTTTTTATAATATGTAATTATATGTTTATATGATTATAATTTTACATTATAATGTATATATTATATACTTATATAATTATAATTTCACATTATAAAGTAACATTACTTTATAATGTTTGTTACGCAAACAATTCCCTCTGAACAATAATATCTAACAATCATTCAGAATAACAATTGGCGATTGTGAAATTAGTAGCAGAGGGAATTACATTTACTCACGTTACTGTAATTGAGTAGTTATTTTGTGAATTTCTACTTTTTAAGTATTTTTTTAAATGTGTAAGGGAATATGGGCAGGAGTGAGCCACTTTTTTTTAAATCGATTATATCAAGGAAACCAAAAGTGGAAAAAGTATAAGATAAGGAGCCTAAGGTAGCCTAAGGTATTAGGTTTCTAATAGTATTACATGAATTATCAAAATATCTTCAGATTTTTGATAACTTGAACAATAACGCAGGTGTTGCTACTGGTTCACTCCTACCCATGCATGGGTAGGAGTGAACCAAGCAAATGATAGCAGTGAGCCATTACCTTTAATTACCAGAAAACTAAAATTAGATACTTTCTTTAACTAATTTATTAAAAATTAAGTGAGTAACAACAACTTTATAATTAAGCATAACATAATTAAGCAATAATGTAACATAAATAATAATAAATTTAACACAATTTTAAAGTCTTGTAATGAAATAATCAAAATGTATAAACTACAAAAGAAAATAATTTAGTTTTCAGTAACAACTGATTTTGGCAACAAAACAAAAAACTGTCATGAAAAATGATAATTTCCAAATATTAAAATATAGTAAGAGTATATATATGTAATGAAAGTAATATACTAGCATACAGTATATTGACAATAAAAATAATATTTAGCAAATACTGATATAGTCAAATACAACCTTAAATTTGTAATGGCAATGCTGCCTTTTGCTGTTCAAGAAAAAGTTGGCTGAGATAGCAACATTTTAGAAGTTATAGCAGTTACTCTAATCCTTTTTTCTTTTTGGATTAAATGCACCTTTCATATTTTTATTAGAAGTTTTTGCTTTCGAAGTTGGTCTTTTATAGACTCGAGACATTAAAGCATATGGTAAAAATAAATGTAATGTTGCACACAAGTTTTCTAATGATATACTAAAATATAAAAGTCAAACATAAATATGTTTTTACGCTGAAGTAAAAACTTTTTTAACGTGAAGTATTAGTGAGTTGTAGTTCACTCCTACCCGTAAAGGAATGGCTCATTCCTTCCCTAGCTGTACAACTGGATAAAACATTAAATGTGCAATAAGTACGTGGTTTTTGCATGTAAAATACTTTGTTCTAAAAACTACATTGTTTATTTGTAAATTTTCAACGACTATCTAATGTCTTGAAACAACCGGTATGCTTGCTAAAGAAGTTTCAAAAAATACAAAAAATTTACTTTTGCCCAGAAAAGAGTGGATGACAACGTAAATGCAGACATCCGCACCAAGGAGCGGTAAAAATACTGGGTTGTGTTAACAACAATTTATATGTAACTACTTGGTGAAAATTTTGAGTCTTTTTCATTTCCCGTTTTAGCTGTAGGATCAACGATTCACTCCTACACTTGGCTCAATCCTACCCATACTCCCCAACTTTTACTTTTACTTAAGTATTTTTATTCTAAAGTTTTGTAATTTGCAACATTTGAAATCATATGCGTTACTGAGTAAAAATATTTATTATGTACAGATAGAATTCCTTTAAAAACACATACCCCCTTAAACACTACACGTATAAACTTTCGGTTGTGGGTTCCACTAATATCAATGAAATTATTAAACAATGATTAAACCAGTATCTTTAAACATCTTAAATGACAAATTAATAAAAAACTAACCTCTTTTACAATTTTAAAATCCTCAAAAAGAGAATACAAATCAAATGTTTATTTTTAAAAATGGCTTAATTTATGCATTATGACCTCCAACTGTTTAATAGTTTAATTTTAAGTTTGCAATTATCTTATTTCTAGATAATGTTACACTTGTTCTAGTCCACCAATGTAATATTAAATAGTTTACAAACTCTTAAAGATGTTTATTTTGTATTTTAATACAGTAATAATGTATATTTTAAATAATAGGAAATATGAAAAATAATAAGAAATGTATAGATTTAATACAATAACGGCTTTAATAACAGCAATAACTGTTTTTTAAATAAAATGGGAAAAAAATATGAATAGCGTAAAGTATTCTGAAAAAGAGATATGCAATAAAAAACATTTCATCTAAAAAAACATCTCTAAGTAATTATATATATATATATATATATATATATATATATATATATATATATATATATATATATATATATATATATATATATATATATATATATATTTACATATATATATATATATATATATATATATATATATATATATATATATATATATATATAATGAAAATCAAATTAATATTTATTTTGTTTAAGTTTTATATTAATTGTAATTTGTATTTTTATTACCTAAATTAAACTCAAGCATAAATAACTTTTAAGATTAAAATGTTTATATTTTGTTTTAGTTTGAAATGTTTAGTGAGAAGTTTTATTCTCGGAGATCGACTGTTCTTGCAACACATGCAGCTGTTGCAACTAGTAATCCAACTGCCAGCGAAATTGGTTTGAGTTTGTTAAAAAATGGAGCGAATGCTGCTGAAGCTGCTGTTGGTATTGCCGCTGTTTTAAATTTAGTTGACCCAGGAATGACTGGTCTTGGCGGAGATTGTTTTGTTTTATTTTACGATAACAAACGAAAGATGGTGAAAGGAATAAACGGAAGGTAATAATTCAATAATAATTCGAATAAAATAAAGCCGAAAAAACCGGGAATTTTTGGATAGAGATAATTCGATAAAATTTTTTTATATTTAATATTCAAGATTAATAATCAATATTTAATAATATGAAAGATTAACATTCAAGATTTACTGTTTAAAAAAGAACAGTTTTGTCCATTTTTATTTCGTTAATTGTAGTAAATAGTAATTATAACAAAAATTATTTGCCAAAAAAAATTATTTGCCTAGATTAAATTTTATTTAAAATTATATAGCTGTTCTAAATTATCAATCAGAACTTGCTAAATATAACTTTGTTTCATGTTTTTAGCGGAAGATCTCCAAAAAAGCTAACTTTAGACTTGCTTTCTGAAAAAGGAATATCTATAGAAAAAGGTATTAAGAAAATTCCACGTTCATCTGCATTTTCTGTAATGGTTCCAGGTGCCGCAGCAGGTTGGATTGATTGCGTGGAAAATTTCGGATCTGGAAAGGTTTTCATTATTCTTTTATACTTGCATTGACATATATTTTTTTATTACTTGCATTGTCGAATTTCTTAGTTAATTTTTTTTGTCGAATTTCTTTGTTAATTAATGAGCACCTGTATACTTGTTTTTTAAAAATCATTAAACTGTGTGTGACTTACTCAAGTTGTGTGTGACTTACTCAAGTTGTGTGTGACTTACACAAGTTATGTGTGACTTGATCAAATAAGTTCTTTTGTTTTTGCCTATATTTTTTATAGTTGTTTAGATGATTGTGTGCAATATCGATCACCACCACGTGATAGTGTCGCGCTTAACTTGATTCTCCAAATGTTACCATTTTTCTGCTGTTAACTAATTGAGAGCTAATTTCAAAAAGGTGATATAGTGTAAAAGAACCTTTTTTTGCTGTTTAAGAAAATTTCACCTCCCTGTTTTTCATCAAAAATCAAACCTAAAACGTTTTAAATTGCCTTCAGAATAAAGTTCTTATATTTATTCACCTTCAAAATTACCTACTTTATAATATTTTTTTTATATAAGCAGTGGCAGATTATATAAAAAAAGTTATAACAAGAAAAATGTGGCAATAACTTTTTTAAATCCATTATTATTTTTCAGTATATTGAGGTCCAATCAGGATAAGAACTAACGATCACACTCTTACTTGTAAAATGTGTTCCAGCAAAATCGACCTCATACCCATATGTCTTGTAAGATTTCTTTTTCTAGCATAGGAGGAAACCCTTCTTTATCTAATTGGCTAGCTTAGATGTATATCTGTATTTTTATATACGCCAGCCTGATTTACTGAGCTCTATGGTAGCTCTTAAAGAGATTCACTCTATTAAGAACCGCAAAATGTAAAAGTATTACCAGTGTCATGTTTCGTATGTGCTTTTTCTGTATAACTTTCATTTATAATTGTATTCATTTCTTTCATTATATTTACAAGACGAACTCCTTGGAAAACAAATGTCTTTTTCAATTGTAAGAAATAAAAAAATGTATTGTAAGGCAGTAAGTTCTCCGATTGAAAAATCACGTACTTTTATATATAAATAATTTTATAATTTTATTTTTATCTCCTAAGTTAAGAAATAGAACATCTTAAACACGAGCATTGATAAAGACAAGTTTAACATTTTTCCTTTCATACATGAATATGAACTTGTTACCACATATTAGGTAAAATATTATTACTTCTAACATATATTAGGTAATATATATTTCTAACATAATTTAATCTACTTTTTGATATTTAAATCTTTTCTTTTTTTCGGCTTTTCTTACTAAAACTCTTTCTCACTTAATCTCCTTTACAGCTCGGGATCTGGACAACATTCCTGAGATCGGGGTCTAGGCAACATTCTTGAGATCTTTCCAAAGCTCTTTTCATCACTCTCTAAACTATTTAAGAGAAGTTTAACTGATTTAAAAAAGTTTCAATTTTAAAAACTCAGGAAATCACTTAAACCTCTCTAAATATAATTACCAGTCTTCTAAGTGGTACTAGTTTTAATATAGATTATTATTTAGTAATTATAAAAATTTAGTTACCAGTCTTCTATTACTAGTTTTAATCCTCTCATTTTACTGCTGATTTGCTGTAAGTGCCCGGTCCGCCCCTCAGACTTTTTAACCTCTAAAATTAAAAAAAATTAAACATGTTTTGGATTGAAGACATGGTTTGAAGCAGTGAAGCGAGGTTTATAGCTCATGACTTATCAAAGGTTTTTGATAAAGTTAAAATCATCTTTGCATAAAATTTATGTTTTGTTTTACGGAAAGTTTTCAAAAACGTTGAATTAGACCGTTCTTACCTCAGTGTTAAAAATGATTTTTGTTCTAACCGCATTACTAAAGTTGTACTTGATCAACAACACTATTCTTATTTCTTAGAATTTCTACGTTACGTCTTCTCTAATTATTATTCAGTATATATTTCTCTCATAGAAAGAATATATGCAATTTATTGCAAAGTCAGCATTTGCTAAGAAAAGTGTTGTATTAATGTTAGTTTTATAAAGTTGCAAGTGTTTTGTTTTGCATTTCATTAACTAAAATGTTAAAAAGCATTGCGACAGCAGACTTATTAATCTTTCATCAAGTCATAGTATAGCATACTTTTATTTATTTGGTGTAATCGTTTGCGAAATACCTCTGTCTTTGAACACGGCTGAAATTTACAGTAAATAACACACATGTAGCTGTGAATTTACAATTGTCGTACCCAATGCACCACTAAGTGGAAACTTAGAATTTTTAAATATTTTTTCAGTTATAACTTTTTAATAAAACTTTTGGTTGTTACTTTTTTCATTCGTTTATTGTTTTTTTTAATAAACATTTATTATAATATTAAGACATATAATTTTATACAAATATAGATATTTGTATAACAATTGTATTATGCAAATTCAAAACTTAACTTAATGCAACTTTGGGGAAAAGAATACTACATCTGTCCAACAACATCCGTGGAGTAGTGAAATAACATCCGCACATTTTTGTGTAAGATCATCCGCTTTTTTTCTTTACTGATATAATATCTATGCAAGAACATCCGAAATTTCATTGATGTCTAATAACATCTTTAGAAAGATGTAACTAATCCGAGAGTTTTTCTCGATGTGTAACTACATCCGCCTAAAATAATGCATTATTAAAAATAAAATAAAAAATAAAATAAATTTCCGGACGAGTTACATCCGAAAAAAATCAAATGAGTAACTACATCTGGTTAAAGTTATACATTATTAAAAAAATTCCGTAATATAATAATATAATAACTATATATGAAGTTACATATATAGTTATTATATTATAAAAGTGCTGCTACATCGACTGACAAATAGCCTGACTCGCAACGGAGTGCTGCTACATCGACTGAAGATTTGGTTTGGGCAGGTAGTTTATCAAATAATTAGAAAAAAAAATTTATTATGCTTAAAATAATGCATTATAATATTTTTTTTTTTGGCGGATGTAGTTACATCAGCCAAAAAAAAAAGATGATGCGTAAAAAAAAAAATCAGATTCGTAACTACATCTGGTTAAAGTTATACATTATTAAAAAAATTCCGTAATATAATAATATAATAACTATATATGAAGTTACATATATAGTTATTATATTATAAAAGTGCTGCTACATCGACTGACAAATAGCCTGACTCGCAACGGAGTGCTGCTACATCGACTGAAGATTTGGTTTGGGCAGGTAGTTTATCAAATAATTAGAAAAAAAAATTTATTATGCTTAAAATAATGCATTATAATATTTTTTTTTTTGGCGGATGTAGTTACATCAGCCAAAAAAAAAAGATGATGCGTAAAAAAAAAAATCAGATTCGTAACTACATCTGGTTAAAGTTATACATTATTAAAAAAATTCCGTAATATAATAATATAATAACTATATATGAAGTTACATATATAGTTATTATATTATAAAAGTGCTGCTACATCGACTGACAAATAGCCTGACTCGCAACGGAGTGCTGCTACATCGACTGAAGGTTTGGTTTGGGCAGGCAGTTTATCAAATAATTAGAAAAAAAAATTTATTATGCTTAAAATAATGCATTATAATATTTTTTTTTTGGCGGATGTAGTTACATCAGCCAAAAAAAAAAGATGATGCGTAAAAAAAAAAATCAGATTCGTAACTACATCTGGTTAAAATTATGCATTTAAAAAAAAAAAATAAATTTGGACGTAATTACATCCGAAAAATCTACAGATGTAGTTGCACGGATGTTATTATACATCGATGAAGTTTCGGATGTTGTTTCATGGATGTTATTATACATGGCAAAAACGGATGTTATTGCCCTGACCCAAATTTTGTACAAAATTAAGGCACTAAATTTCGTATATGTTTTTATCAGCCTTTTTTATAAATATTGGTTATGACAAAAAAGTGATTAGACTTTTAAAAAGGAATTTTTACTTCACTAAAAATATTTTGGGTCAAAAAACACAAAAAACGCAATATCTCTTATACGCACGCGTGAAATTCTACACTGCTGCTGTATTGCACAAAAGGGTTAATAAGGATGATTACGCGTAATTTCTGGCATTTCTGAGGGAAAACTCCAAGGTTAAATGAAACTGTCAATTTATCTTTGATGCTAACCAGCCCCATCCTCCCCTATGCCATCTTAGGAGCAGTAAGTGCCTATGATGGCATACTTGTGCTTTTTTAAAAAAAAATAAGAATAACTATTAAATAAATAAAACTGATGAAAACTCTTAGGGTTATTATTGTTCTGCATATAACAAAGAATGTATCCACATTAAAACTTTTCTTCTCGGTCTTTAAGAAACTGAATAACGATTGTATGCTACGACGAATAAGTATGCTATTGTAGGCGCCTTTCCCCTATTTCAAAAGTAACCGCTATTTCATCTGCATTTACAAGCATTTTTTCAAACTCGTTTTTAATTACAAAAATCTTCTATGCCATCATCATTTATCACTAAAATAAACGTCATCATCATTTATCACTAAAGTAAATTTTGCAATGTCCTTGTTCATAGTAACGCTTGTTTTTATTGTAATTTTTATTAAGAACCTCAAAGAGTATCATTTATTATTATGTTAATAATTATTTTTCTATTGGTTGTTTATTTTAACTTGATTCGTTTCACAGCACTTGCAAATGAAACATTATTTAAATGTTTAGGATTTGAATAAATGTTTAGGATTGATACTTCTAATGACCGTCTATCATCCATTATTTAAATTTTTTAAGTTCAAACAATTTTACAGATATCATTAGAAGAAATATTTCGTCCTGCTATTCAGTTAGCCGAAAATGGATTTCCAATGCACGAAGTTACTGCTACTTTGTACCTGGAAAACTACTTGCATCTAAAAACAAATGATACTTCCTGCGGAAGTGATTTATTAATCAATGGTAACCCTCCTAAAACAGGTCAACTTGTTCGAAATCAAAAGTTCGCTGAGGTGTTAAAGGTATTTTGCTATAAAAATATTTAAAGCAAAAAAAATATATATATATTTTTAAGTCATTTTTGATAAAGAATTTTTTCTAGTCCTAATCTTTTAAGGTTTTTTTTTTAGTTTTTTTCATAATGTTAAAAAGATCCTAAGTAATCAAAATTTTTTATTTTACTATTTTAAAAAGCAAAATAAATTGAAACTTATTTTAATTATATAACTTAACATTAACAAAGATTTAAATTTGGAATTTTATATGATTTAATTTCAAGGATTTAGCAAAAAACGGAAAAAAAGGTTTTTATAAAGGAAGAATTGCTGAAGAAATTGTAAAAACTGTACAAGAAAATGGAGGATGCTTAACTATGGAGGATATGGAATCTCATTGCAGCACTTATGATGAACCAATATTTACAGATTACCGAGGTTATAGAGTATGGGAAATGCCACCTAATGGTCAGGGCGTTGTGGCGTTGATGGCTTTGAATATATTAGAAGGATATGATTTAAAAAACGGTAAGAAAAATCAAGTTTAAAAATCAAGTTGAACTCAAAGTTTTGTAGTATATAACTATAGAAGTAATAACTTTGTAGTAAAACTATATATATATATATATATATGAGGCCTCTGAGAGAGAGGGGGGGGCAAACTGACCCGGGCGCCAAGATTAAAAGTTCGCCGAACAACCTTTTTTTTTTAATTACAATAAAAAGAAAACATCTTAATGATCGACAATATGAAATCTGCATAGTTTTTGTATTTGAGATTGAAACTTTAGTACTTAGAATATAATGCACATAAATTTTTTTTTTCAATTTTAAATTTTATTATTATAACTAATAATAAATTGTTTTTTACGAAAAAAATAGGATTTAGTTGTAGTTGAATAAAACGGAACCGGACATATTCCGTAAGTCCATGAACAGTTAGCCATGCTTGCTAATGCAAAAGATGATGCACTGTGGTAATTATAATGGTAGCTGATCAAACTTCACTTTGAAACAACCGACACTGAGAGCACTGATAACTTCGATAGGTAGTTCTTTTCATGGGTTAGCAACGCGGATGTTGAAGAGTTGAAGCGAACGAGACATTTGTTGGCAATTTTACGATAATTTACAAGCAGTATTGTTTCAACACGCTTGCCTCATAAGCATAAGATCAGTAGTTTAAAGCCATCTCTGGGCAAATAATTAAATATTGGTTAGAAATAAGCAGCAATAAGACCTTAAGGACTCCTTAAAGCACTTAAAGTTATTTTTGCGGTTTCCAAACAAGCAATTATTTTGAGTATCTCTTAGGATTTGTTGTAACAATCAATTGCAGACTTATTTTAATGTATTGAATGTAACAAGTTTGCTGGAAGTTAAAATACTTTAAACAGTGTCTTCAACAGACAATAGAACAGTTTTTAAACGGAAAAAAAAGCAACAGTCACAAACCCGCCAACGCCAAAACCAAAAAGTAAAATTCAACTAATTTATATTCTTACTAAATTATATTTTTGTTAATGTTTTAAATGTTAAACTATTTTAAATGTTTTTTGAAGAATTTAAGAACATTGAGCAATATATATATATATATATATATATATATATATATATATATATATATATATATATATATATATATATATATATATATATATATATATATATATATATATATATATATATATATATATATATATATATATATATATATATATATATATACATTCTATCAAAATATATAAACTGTAGAAAAACTCACGTTTAATGTACTTCGAGTAGTACAGATAGCGCTCTAAGATTATTTATAATTTTTTATAACATTACTTGATTTCGCATTGTTCTAAATAAATTGGAAACAATTGTTTCTGTTAAACACAAAGTTTTTCTTCTTTTAAATTAAACGTAATTATCCTAAAGTTTATCTGCATGAATCTAAGAAGAAAATCTTTACCTTGAACATGTTTTATCAATCTTTGATTAATAAGGAAAAATTAGAAAGAGATTTTTGGTTTTGAGTTTAACCACCAATGCTCTCTACTGCTCTCTCTCTTGAGCACGAAAACAGTATTCAAAAGCGGGCATTCGGCCCTTTTTTGTTGGAACTGAGGAACTAGAGACCAATGAAGGAAATTCATAGATCATCAAACTAGAGACCAATGAAATAAATTCATAGTGTAATGCATCTTCAATCAACCCAATTGCACCAAAAGTTCAAGAAAGAGGCATACGTTTGTTTTACCAGCTTCTCTGGTAAAGATTCAGATTTCAAGAAGCGAATTAATTCTGAGACAGCTTGATAGAGGGCAATTCTTTGTGGAATTTTAGGTGTGACTCTTTTCTTGGGTTCTAAAAATTTAGCTTTTCTAGGTAACTTATTATAACGTTTTCTCAACATCAATTTGAATTATTAGATAAAATTATGTTTGCAGGTTAAACAACGCACGTGATTGGGAAAAGAAATGAATAACTTCTTGCCGGTATAGAGCTTATTGGTACCTCTCTTTGTCGACTCAAAATGGGTTCATAAGAAAATGTGTTGGTGTCATCCAAAGTGCAGCTGTGAAAGAAGTCCAGAACAGTATCTACTTCACCATCGTTATCGATGGTACCCAGATACATTTTACCTTGGTTATTTTTTTTCTCCTCTATGAACAAGAAACTAGTAGCTGGCAAATCAAAGAACGATTCTTGTTAAAGCTTTTAAGAAGAAGAATGTAATGAATAGAGTAAAGCATTGATGTGATTGGCTAGGTAATCACTGATGTGATTGGCTAGGTAATCACTGATGTGATTGGCTAGGTAATCACTGATGTGATTGGCTAGGTTTAGGTATTTGAAACTGTCGCGTTTAATACAAATCGCGTACAATACAATATTATTTATACAGAAGGACCTCAAACCTTAATAAGACAAAAATATTCGGAAGCTCTGAATGTTACCTCTAGCACTCACTGTCTGAATTCGGCTGGTATGTTCGCAGTTGAATCTATTGAGATTAAAGTATTCTTTGGAAATGTCGAACTTTTGTACGTATTTTTTAGTGCAAGCCATGCCTTATGGAAGATCCTCACTGATGTGACAGGCCTTTTACCGCATAAACGTTTTATAAAAAACGGAGCTCTTGTACCGACGCAATCAAACCACTTGTAAAGATACCGGGAGAAATGTTCAACAACTCATAGAAAACCTGGATCAAACGAGTGAGCAGCTCAGCCAAACAAGAGCGTTAAAAGAGACTTCTTCTACAATCTAAAGCCATTACCATTGATAGCGAGCTACATTTGATTTTACACCTAGTGGAAGTGAAAAAAACTTAAAAAATGGTTAAAAAAACTGATTAAAAAAAGTAGAAAAATCAAAATTTAGTAAGACTGTTTGGTTCCAGAGATAAGGACCTCGGTAAGAAATAAAAAATTTGATCTTTGTTTTTATGACAAAAAGGGAAATTAAAGGAGCAATAAGATTATTATTAATATAAAGATTTTTGTTTTTAGGTTTCAAACAATAAAAATTTTGAAATACATTTGGCGACAAGTTTTCTTCACATTTAAACATAAAATATTAAAGACATTTAGTTGATATTCATTTAAAACATTCATTTCTTTAAAAAGTTGTTTCATGCAAAAATTTTAAAACTTATTGGGCGAGCTGCGTGTTTCTGATAAGGGTAAAGAGGTTTTAGCTTTGTTCTATGAGTGCTTTCTTCTATAATATTTGCGTAGTAAACTACATAAAAATTATAAGGGAAAGCACTCATAGAATGACAATGTATCAATTTGAGCGTCTAAATAAATAATATAATTGTGTTAACTGGTGTTTACTTAATGTAGTTTTTGCTTTATATAGAATTCCGATGCATTTAGCAATTTTATTAAGGTATTATCGATATTTAAGGTATAATCGATATTTAAGGTATTATCGATATGATTTCTACAAGATTTTTATCAATCCTCTTTTTTATCAACTCCCAAGAAAATTTTTCTGTTTCTTTAATGTTTATATTATTTTACGGTAAATTTAATTTACCGTAAGGCAATTTTACGGTGTGTGTGTGTGTGTGTGTGTGTGTGGGCGGTGTTACCCCCCTCCCTTTTAGAAGGTGATTTTCAAGTTATAGTCGGGTTTTTTTACGAATTTAGTCGGCTTGTTGGCTATTTGACACAATTCATTTGGTTAAATTTTCGTTTTAAGGACCTTTTTTTTGTTTTTCATAAGCTAGCCGGTACTTTTTGAGGATTTACTCCCCCCTTCCCTCATTTTATTTGTAGAATCACCTCTGCGTATATTATACAAATGAATGAACCAAATATAGATCCTTGTGGAACAAAAGTCATTTTTGTAAATAAACTGTTTAGTGTTAGTTAGATAACTTTTGAAACATAACAGGGTTTTATCTTACCAAATAAAAATAGTTATTATAACAGGACTTGATGATTAACGGTATCAAATGCTTTAGGCAAATCAATAATCACTCCTAGTGTAAAAGAAGAGTCTTTAAAAGAAGAGTCTAGTGTAAAAGAAGAGTCTTATTGCGCGTAGGTTAGTCTTTAAAAGAGTTACATTGGGCCTAAGTTAATAAATGGCATCCACGATTAAATTATTTTTTTTAATAAAATTGGTTTTTATTTAGTATTTTATTTCCAATAAAATAAGAGTAGACAAATATGGTAAAATCATGAATAATCGAACAAACTTTATTAAAATTAAATAACATATAATGAAGTTATAGTTCATTATAATAAAAATAACAATTTATGATAAAAAAGTATAAATAACATTTATTTGAATAATTAGGCGTGATATTTATTTGATATATTTAAGTTTGTCATTTTATTTATTACATACAGCGTATTAATCTTACAGAAAATCGAATGTCGTCATCTTTAATACATAAACTGATCGAATCAACCAATCTTGCTTTTGAACAAGGATTTAAAGGTATTTTTGATCCATCAATTAAACCTGTTAACCTCGAGTTATTTTTATCAAAAAAAATTGCGGAAGAAAAGAGAAAAAGGATAAATCTTGAAAAGTAAGTTTTTTAATTTTTTTAAATTTTTAATATCATGATATTTCTTTAAATATAAGAAATTTTAACTGTTAAAACTTACTTGAAACACACTCTCATTTTTTTATCAAATTTAAATTCACCTCTGTGAATTGCGAGGAGAAACAAGCTGAATGCTATGATCGTGTTGAGGAATTCAACCGTTAAAACTCACTCGAAACATTACTTCCTTTGAACTGTTTAGTTTTACTCAAAACATTACCTCACTGGAACCGTTAAAACTTACTAGAAATCTTCGAATTTAAGTCTAACATTTATAGTTAAGTTTTGTAGCGTTGTATTTTAATTGTAACTTTAAACGAATTTAGAGCTTCTTCAAAAAATTATTGCCGCTCCGGGTTAAATGCTGGAGCAGATACTGTCTACTTTTGTGTTGTTGACAACGATGGAAATGCTTGTTCCTTTATCAATAGTATTTATAATGTGTTTGGGAGTGGTTTAGTCCCAAAAAATTGCGGATTTGCTCTCCAAGTCAGTATTTATATATTATCATTTTTGTTTTATAAAAAAAACTAGTTTGTAATAAACTATTTAATATTCATACTTATATAAAGTTTAATTAAATTTTTTTAGAACAGAGCTTCAAATTTTTCTCTACGTGATAACCATGGAAACTGTGTTGGTCCAAAAAAGAGGAGTTATCATACAATCATTCCTGGAATGGTCACACATGTTTCAAATAATGAGTTATTTGCATGCTTTGGAAATACGGGGGCTTTTATGCAACCTCAAGGTCACGTGCAGGTTAGAAATAAAATTTGAAAATTTTAATAACTATAAATTGGTTGTTATATTTTATAAAATTGAAAATAGGCAATAGAAATTATGAAATTATTTAACGGTTCGTTAATTGCAACCTGTACAAGGTTTATCAGAGAACAGATGACTGTATGTTGTTAGCTTTATAACAAAGCCTCATTAGCGGAAAACCGATGCTAGGGTATTAACAATCTGATGTAGGAGTGTGGTTTGTGTTATAAATTTAAGGCAAGTATCTACTTATAATTTCTATTTTATGAGATACATGGCATAATAATGCAGCAATCACTTATTTTTGTGAAATAGTTGCTGCTACCATTTATCACGTAATCTTATTCAAAAAAATCTGACATACAGATTGTAATATGCTGGCATAATGTCAGAAAAGTACAGTAAATGCTTTTTGAATGCTGCATATATATAGCCGTTATCATCTTGATAAACAAAATTGAATTTTTTTATGTAAAGTAATTTTTATGTAAAGTAATTTTTGGGGCACCTAAAATAAAAAAATTATAAAAAATCACAAACATGTTTTCCGCTGAGAATTTAAGGCATTGGTTTACAATAAATGGCTTATATAGTAACATAAGTCAACCTTGGCTTACAATAAATGGCTTATATAAGTCAACCTTGTATCCAAATTGTTTTAGATCTCATCTGTTTTAGTGGTTAATTAAATTAAATTAGTTTACCAAATTCTAAAAACTGTTAATCTTGTTTGAAAACTGTTTATTAAAACTGTTAATCTGTTTAACTTTTCCATAGTTTAAAACGTTTCATATAATAATCTTACATTTTAACTGTTTTTTTTTTAATTTAAAATGTTTCATATATTATTCATACATTTTAAGTGTTTGATATAAAATATATTTTCCATATGAAAATGTTTCATATATTTAAACACTCAACTAATTTTCATTACTTTAAGTACAATATTTCCTTCAAAATTGTATAGAAGTTTAATCAAATATTAATAAATGTAATTTTTTTTATTATTAATGACAAAATATAAATACATAACGACACGTGTAGATGTTGATTTCAAACACAACTTTTAAATATAATTTGCAGACCAAAAAAATATATATATTTAAATAACTAAAATAATTAACATAAGAAAATAAAAGAGCACTCTTCCAAATCCAAAAAAAATAAACGAATGTAAAAGAAGATATACTCTTCTTAAACAGGCTTTATTGATAAAGAAACTTGAAAATATTTAGAAAACCCACTTCCACTTTAGAAAATCATCACATTAAGTTAATGTGATGATTTTCTAAAGTGGAAGTGGGTTTTCTAAATATTAACATTATTTAATAGTTTTTCTAAATATTAACATTATTTCTAAATATTAACATTATTTCTAAATATTAACTAAATATTAAAAATTCTAAACACGACGTCACGGCTGCTCAAATTAGATGTTTCAATGTTCTGAAGTGTTAATTTAACACTTCAGAACATTGAAACATCTAATTTGAGCAGCCGTGACGTCGTGGTAGCGCACTTGCCTCAGAAACAAAGGATCCGTAGCTCAAACCCCACCTTTTTGCAAGTACGGTTAGGAAGAAGGCGTGAACTTCCAATTAAATGCTCATCCACGGTGCTCTGAAATAAGTCCGTAAGGAATTCTTGGGGTGCCTAAACAAAAATTTAAATAAAAAAAAAAAAAAATTGTGCTCCACTTACTTTTTTATTAACTATGGTAACTTCTAATAACTCCTAGTAATTATTGAAATAAATATTTAAAAAAAAAGTTAATTAGTAAAAGATCATACAGTTAAATACTTCAAAAAAAAATTATTTAGCGTGTTACTTTTTTTACTTCTCTGTGTATTTAAAACTTATAAAACATTAATTAGACTATAACAAATACATTTCATTTATATATAAATGTTTTTCATTTGTGTAAAATAATATTCCTCCACTAACATAAGCTAATCAGCCTCAAAAATATGTTATTTATTTTTAGTTCGTTCAAATTTTTGAGTTTTTAAGGTCAGAGACACTTCACTCGTTTTGTTACATGGCCGATGACACGGTTTTTGAAGTGGAGGGCACAATTGTCAGTTTCTAAAAAAAGTCCTATATATCTAAATATTTTTTTTTTTTTTTAGAAAAATTTATATTAATAATATTTTCTAAATAAAAAAGGCGTCACTTAAAGATGTATCATATTGATGCTTTCAAAAACTGTTTTACAACTTAAATCTATACTAAATAAATATAAAGATAACTTGAATTTTAGAAAAATTTAAGTCATTTAGAAAAAAATTGGGGGCCCTTCTGGTCCCCCCTCTCCCCCCGGTATCGTCAGCTCTGTGTTAAATTGCTGCATTATCATACTTGCTGCAACATAGTAGATACATTTATATCAATCCATACATTTTACTAATTACCACTTAAATCCATTATACATCTATCCATACATTTTATTTATTATACATTTATCTATTATACATCTATCCAAATATTAATTATTACGTATTGATTACTCCTTGGCCTTGCCTTAAGGTCAAAAATTGAGGCTTTGGCCTTGAAACTGTTGACCTTGGCCTTGGTCTTGGCCTTGAAAATTTTGGTCTTGGCCTTGATTTAAAAATTACATATTTTCTTATTGATTTCGTTGAAATTTGCACATAACCTTGTTTTTTTTTTACAAAATGTGGTTTTATTGTCACAGTAATTGCTACTTACAGTTTTGTTTATGATTGGCCTTAAAGTAAGACAAAAATTGAAGTCTTTGGTCTTGAAAATGTTTGCGTAGATCTTGGCCTTGAAACTCCAAATCTTAGCCTTGACCTTAAAATTTTTAGCCTTGGTCTTGTAACGTGTGGTTTTGGCCTTCGCCCAACTACTTTTGGCCTTGTTAACAACTCTGGTTCTGAATTGGATTAATAACTTAATTCTTTAATATAAGATTATGAGTGATTTTGTAAAGTTTTTATGTATAAAGTTTTTATGTATAAAGTTTTTATAAATATTCTTGTTTTTTTAACAAATTAGTATTTTAATTAAATTTTATTAAATTAATTTTTATGAAGATTTATTTAATATACATTTTTTTCAATAATAAATTAGGTTTTGTCAAACATGATTGATTTTGGTATGACACCTCAAAACGCCCTCTGTCACCCTAGATACTGCGTTAAGTACCACAACATAAAACCGCATATCGTATATCTAGAAAAAGGAATTCCAGAAAAAATAATTGAAGAATTAAAAGGTCTGGGTCATAACGTTATAGTTGTTTCAGAATTTAGTCGTTCGATGTTTGGACGAGGTCAAATAATTCAAGTTCGTTACGACGAGCAAGGTAATCGAGTACTATGGTGTGGATCAGAGAGCAGATCTGATGGATGTGCTTTAGGTTATTAAGGTTTAGATTAGGTGGATTTTTTAAAATAAGATGAAGTAGTTTAATTTAATTTGTAAAATTGAGTAAAATAATTTAATTTTAATGTATAAAAAACTAAGTTAGGATGATAACTAAATTATTACTAATACAGTTATAAAGTTTATTACCCATGCTATGTTGCGCGTCTACAGTTGTAGAGTTTATTACAAGATGCTATGTTGCGCGTCTCTAATAATTTTTTTTATAAAGCAAGCCTTTGTTCTATTTTCATCTACAGTAATATAAATGTAATAAAAATACAATTTTAAATAATAATCTTTCATATTTTTAAGTTTTTGTTTTTGTACAAACTTTTTTACTTACATTATGTTTTAAGGTTAGGCATATTTATCATGTTATAAAGGTGCCCAACATTATCATGTTATAAAGGTGCCCAACAAAATTAATCTTTGTTATTAATACTGGCGATCAATATTTTTAAGACTTTTTTTGAAAAGGTAAATAAAATAAAATTAATGCCCTAAGGTTTTGGTCTTGCAATCACCTATATATGTATTTTTACATTTCCTAACCTAATAATAAATAATACATTATTTAACTTAATTTTTCCAGGAATACATTTCTTATCTATCATGGTTGAGTTGTTGCTTTTCCTTTCTCTCTCACAAAAATTATCTCTCTAAACACTTGTGCCATTTGTAGTTTTTTTCTTTAAACACTTGTGCCATTTGTTAATTTGTATACGGATAAAACAAACATCGAAAATAAAAATATAGAGAACTATGTAACAACAAACCATTGTTTAAATAGCTTTACAAATTTGTCCGCATTTATAAGAGAAAACAAATTAGAGAAATTTTGTTTTAAGAAAATATCTGATCGTCATAATGTACACAGTCAATGCTTTTTTAACACAGTTCGGTATTTCAAACCTACTACAGTAGCTGTACTGTGATAGAAATTCATAAAACTATAATGACTTTGCAAACTATAAACAACTTTTTTTATAAAGGAAAAAAACAAAAAATTATAAATTAACTGATTTTGACATTTTGGAGCAATTTAGATATATTTTAATTTGTTAAAAATGATTTCGGGAAAAACCCGTATGACACCCCCTCCCAACTTGAATCATACTCGCTACTTTTAAAGATGTGTATGCATCAATATCTCTAGCAGTGACGACTGAACTACTAATAGAAGGCGTACATCTATTCTTAATAGAGAAATAGATAACATCATGTTTTTCTAACTTGCCTATACTCAACAAAATTGACATGACTCATCCTTATAAATCTAATTATGAAGAGAGAAGTTTCATTAGACTATTGTCATAAAATCTTTAATCAACATTGAAAAAAATGTCTTTTTTATTGACATTAATTTTTATAGAATGTGAGCTTGCTGAAAGTATTGAATTAGAATTCTCAAAAAATTATTTTGCTTCAACTAATTGGGCACAGACTTCCGTAAGATGTCTATACAACGCCTTATAGTTGTAACAAGTCAGTATGATGTTCTTAAAACGTCCATAAAACGTTCTCTATCTGCTGAAATTGAAATCTCGTAGAATATAATTTGTATAAACTAAAATGTATAGTTTAAATATATTTTTAAATAACCAAACGATTGCAATAATATTTTTATTTTTATAACGGCTTTTGTTAATCAAAGTAAACTTGAGCAAACTCAAACTTTCGTTTAGTGACTTAGACGTACCTACTATCTATTAGTAGACGTACTTTATAGTTTTAATAAAGCGCACATAAAAGCATAAATAAAATAAACTTATCACAAGTGGCAGTCTCGAAGAAAAATATTTCTGGGGGTTAATGCTACCCCTAACCCATGTTATCCCCTACTTATTCCCCCTCCCCTCATTACGCTAAACCTCGATCCGCCACTATATACACACACTACCGTTCATAATTATTCAAATGGCATTAACTTTATTTTAAAATACTATGTTTTACTTAACTATTTTCTAAGTTTATTTTTGCACTATTAGATAATTTAAACGTGTTTTGGTTAAAATGCTTTGATAATAAGAATAATAAAAATTCTAAAGTGGGCAAAACTACCTCAAAAGTGGACCAAAAATGAGAGTAAATGCGGACCAACATGTCAAAGTTTTAAATCTTTGGTTTCAAAATTAGATTATTTGTCTGAAAAAAAAATCGTTGAACTTATGATAAAATGTTATGTATTATTAACTGTAAAACATGGTGGATGTAGTGTTCAGGTGTGGGACTGTTTTAGTTAGAATACCACAAATGACTTTGTGAAAATAGATGAAGTAATAACAAAAGTAGTTTACTTGTACACTTCAAATACACCTTCGCAATGATGGGTTAATGACCTATCAGCTATTCATTTTTTCAGAAGAAAATAAACAGCTATTCATTTTTTCAGAAGAAAATGATCAGTTATTCATTTTTTCAGAAGAAAATGATCAGTTATTCATTTTTTCAGAAGAAAATGACTTAAAGCTAAATTATTTTGAAAAAAATTGTTTAGGTTACTGATGTTATGGTTATTGATGTTATGGTTACTGTTGTTATGGTTATTTGACTGCGTTCGAGAACAGTCAAATATTAAATGAAATGATCTAGCCCCCCCAATCACAAGATCTCTCTCTTATTGGATTTATATCGGATAAGAGAGAGATTTTGTGATTGGATGGAACTAAAAGTCAAAAGCCTAATGTTGCTTAATGCTTTAAAAAACAGTCAGCGGCATAAAATTGGCTTCCAAGTCAAGAATATGTACAGCGGTTATTGTCGCTAAGGGTGATTAAAAGGCAAGTAAATTTTCCTTTTAATCACCCTTAGCGAAGTTTGGGTTTATAGAAGTTCAAATAGATATGTAGGAGATTTGTTTTTTAAAGCTTTATATGTAACAACTGGTATTTTATAAACTTTTCTTAGATATATTGGTAACCAATCAAAAGATTTTAGCAATTTTTCTGATTTTAAATGGTAAGGAGAACGAAAGACAATGCGAGATAAACTAATTTGAGTACATTGGAGTTTATAAGGATTTTTTTTGTAAGAACCTAATAAAAGACTAACAATAGTCAAGTTAAGAGCAATTGTGTTTGCTGCTTCTTTTTGAGACATTGACGTATGTGGCGAAGAGCACAAGTTTGGTAGTTGCACGATACAAAAGTGTTGTTTATATGTTGGTCAAAGGGAGTGCTGAATCTAGGGTGACACCCAGGATTCTCACCGAATTTACTGTAGTTAGTGTTGCTCCATAAAATGTAGTTTTTGAATCTTTTTTAAATTATCCAATATGTTTCCTAATCAACCAAGATCCAAAGAAGATTACTTAGGTTGATTTTAATTTTGGGACTGCATTAGCGCGTTCAGTGATTTTGTTAATGTGTCTTTTTCTGGATTAATGAAATTATATAAATGGGTAATCTTGGCATATTGATGATGATTTGTGCATATTGATGGCATATTGATGATGATTTAAATAAAATATACTGATGAATTACACATCGAAAATAAAAATGGACCTAATACACAACCTTGTGGTATTCCTGTGAAACTCGTTGACAATCTTTTTGTTAAATAGCTATAAAAATTAAGTATTTATTGAAAGTTAAAGTATGATATCAGCTATTTTAGTGCAATATCTGTGTCATCAAACTCATCTTTTATACAAGAAATTAGTGGGTTGAGATCGATTGTATCAAACGCTGCAGATATGTCAAGAGGAGAATGATGGTTAAAGCATCATCAATGTTTAACAGGATGTCATTGCATATCTTTAGGATTGCTGTTTTTGTTGAATGATCAGACCTAAAACCAGATTGAAAAGGATTAAAGGTTACCGTTGAAGTTATATGTGGAAGAAGTCGAGATAAAGCAAACTTTTTATAAACTTTTATATTGTATTGAGATTTGATATAGGGCGGGAATTAGCGAGTTTAAATACTGTTTATCCTGATCTTTTTGGGAATCGATGTAATTTGAGCAACTTTGAATAAGACTAGGAAAATTGAAATTTATTATAAAGTTGGAAGAACAGCACAAACATTAAAAACGGTGCACAAACTATAAATTGCTCAATCATTTGTGTATTCATTAATGGAACAACTCGGACCGGTTCGTGAAATAATCACACAAAACGGTAATAGATGGGAAGAATGGGAACTTGAGCAACTCGTCAAAAAATTACAAAAATACATAGAAAGAAATCCATTCAGGGTTAGATTTAGGGAAAATGAAAGGTCGGCGAGGTAAGCTAAAATTGGACTAAATAATTCTGAACACGATTTAAAAATGTTAGTCGTAATAATATAGTGAAACAGTGTCTTATTTTTGAGAGTTTCGATTACATGCGAAAAAGTGAAAGAGTATGTACCAAATGTTGTAAAAATATCTACAGGGGGAGATTGTTCCATAATAAAATTAAATTTTAAGATTGTAGCAAATCTTTCTTGGATATTTTTTTAAAGACTTTTAGGATTATTGGAATGAAATGTTTTTTGGCAATAATCCATGATTCTTCTTGATTACCATGTTTGGACAAACAAATAAATGGAGAAAATGATAAAAATTTGATAAACTATTGAAACTGTATTAAAAGTATTTAAACTTGACTTTTTAGTTAAAAATGCATCATCTAGTTTGCTTGCAAAATATTGACTTATTAAATATTGACTTATGTGTTACATTTTGCTTCTGGTATTGTATTTTTAGTTTTAGGATTATTAAAATGAAGTGTTTTTTTCGCAGTATCCAAAGTTCACGTTAAAATAAGTATGGCTAAAAATTATATCTAAAAAAGTTTGGTTCAATTAGGCTAGGTTAGGTTTTGAGTTATGTTGCATAAAGTTTACTCATTGTACAAAACGGCGTTTAATTTGTTTGTTTTTTTCACCTCCCCACCCTCATATTTTTTGTCATAGCACGCAAAATAAATAATACAATTTTTTTTTCACCATTCCTCTAACATTAAATGTATCATTCTTACTTTAATTGATACAAATTTATTTAAAGAATTTTCATATTCGAGAGAAATTTAGCTCTTTTTTGTAAGATTTGTTTTTTGTTCATCTAATAAACTAAAATAAGATCAAAATTTTTTCTTGTTGTAGAAAAATTTGAGTGAAAAAAAAAAAACATTCTTGCGGTACGTTTGAGGAGAATGATGTATGAAAACTGATAGGTATTAAAGAAACATTTAATTAAAAAAAGTAAAAACATTAGCAGAAATTAAAAAAACAAATAGTTCATAAAAAGTTTAAAAAATAAATTTTTTATGACGCTAAGTTTTTAAGAGGTAATTGAGGTTAAGTCGAGGTGTCACTTGTGCAAC